GGTCACGAAGAGTCAGACACGACTTAACGACTAAACAACAACAACACCTGTATGCAGTGGATCTCCCACCTGCTCTTCAGGAATTCAAGGGAGCATCCATAGTGTTCATTTCTCCTATTTCTCCCCATAAGCACCACCTGGTGACTTAAGTTGTGCTAGGCCAGGCCCCAAATCACCCAGCGAACTTCTGTGACCGAGGATGGACTCGAACCTGGGTCTCCCTAGTGCCAACCACAGCCCTTTACCACTGCACCCCACTGGCCATCTTTAACATAATGGACAAGAACAGCTTTTGGACCTTGCGTAGGCCTTAAGCGTGAAACCTGGTGGGGGGCTATCTTGGCCCAGAAACAGAGATGGGTCAGCTTAGATGGGAGAGGGTTTGGGGGGAGGGCTAGAGGGAAACAAGCCCACTAGCTTCTTTTCTGGGAAATGGATCTAGCTAGCCCTCGTGATAGTGGCAGATCTCCCAAATTCAGGGGGCATTTCATTGTAACAGCACCTGAGTGAAAGGCTGTTGTTCAGTACGATGAATAAACACTTGCAGAATTCAGCTGCCACGTCATACGGCAATTGCCAAACGTAGGAAGGCACTCACTAAATTTGCATAATCCTTAGCCAAAAGGTCTAGCTCACGATGCTTTCTTAAACTCGAGTAAAAAGAAAAGGTTTTAAATGGCGAAATAAATATACATCAGTATTGGTACTACTGTATGGAACAGGCATGTATAAATGGAAGGCCGGGCCCCGGGTAGATACTCTCTCCTACTCTGAACTTGGTCTTTTCCAAGAGACACTAAGTGTGCAATGCAGCAGCCTCAGTGGCTTTGGGATCTGCTACTACAAACTGAAACTTCCAAGAAGTTGTGCATTGGTCAGTTCTGTATCTTGCTTGCCTGTTCTGTTTTTCATTTTATGAAAGATTTCAGTTGAAGCACCTAAAAAAAAAAACCTCAAACCTCGAAGGTAAGAATCATCATTCGCAATGTGCCACAAAATTAAATCTATTTGCAAATGGGAACCTTTTAAATTTGTGTCCAGGCCAAAGGAAGCTATTTCAGTTGTCAGGAAATGTAACTGATTTAAACCAGACCCAGCAAATCTGAACCTAAGGAAGCTGCAAATTTTGACAAATTTGTCATTGATTATTTAAGGGTATGACTAACCAAACATGTTCAACAACAAAGGAAACTGGAAAGCTTTGCTTATAAAAAATATAAAGTTTCTATCTTGGAAGAAATTCTCCATATAAGGAAAAAAGCAAACTACCTTTGACTGCAATATTCTACCTTTTTGTTGTTGTTTAGTCGTTAAGTCGTGTCCGACTCTTCGTGACCCCATGAACCATATTGCGCCAGGCCTTCCTGTCCTTCACTGCCCCTCTTCTTAATCTCTTCTGCTTCTGTTAGGTCCCTGCCTTTTTTGTCCTTTATCATGCCCATCTTTGCACTAAACGTTCCTTTCATATCTCCAATTTTCTTGTAGAGATCTCTAGTCTTCCCCATTCTATTGTTTTCCTCAATTTCTTTGCATTGTTCATTTAAGAAGGCCTTCTTAAATGAACAGAACATAATTCATAAACTGGAACATAAACTGACCTTTTCCAATCCCGTGGCCACTGTTGCGTTTTCCAAACTTGCTGGCATATTGAGTGCAGCACTTTAACACCATCATCTTTTAGTATTTTAAATAACTCAGCTGGAATACTGTCCTCTTCTTAATCTCTTCTGCTTCTGTTAGGTCCCTGCCTTTTTTGTCCTTTATCATGCCCATCTTTGCACTAAACGTTCCTTTCATATCTCCAATTTTCTTGTAGAGATCTCTAGTCTTCCCCATTCTATTGTTTTCCTCAATTTCTTTGCATTGTTCATTTAAGAAGGCCTTCTTAAATGAACAGAACATAATTCATAAACTGGAACATAAACTGACCTTTTCCAATCCCGTGGCCACTGTTGCGTTTTCCAAACTTGCTGGCATATTGAGTGCAGCACTTTAACACCATCATCTTTTAGTATTTTAAATAACTCAGCTGGAATACTGTCCTCTTCTTAATCTCTTCTGCTTCTGTTAGGTCCCTGCCTTTTTTGTCCTTTATCATGCCCATCTTTGCACTAAACGTTCCTTTCATATCTCCAATTTTCTTGTAGAGATCTCTAGTCTTCCCCATTCTATTGTTTTCCTCAATTTCTTTGCATTGTTCATTTAAGAAGGCCTTCTTAAATGAACAGAACATAATTCATAAACTGGAACATAAACTGACCTTTTCCAATCCCGTGGCCACTGTTGCGTTTTCCAAACTTGCTGGCATATTGAGTGCAGCACTTTAACACCATCATCTTTTAGTATTTTAAATAACTCAGCTGGAATACTGTCAGCTATTTGTAAAGCCTCATCAGACAGCCATTTTGCTTTCTTGCATTTCTTTTTCTTTGGGATGGTTTTAGTTGCTGCCTCCTGTACAATGTTTTACTGAGGTTATTTTAGCCACATACAACTGCATATGAACAGCTCTATCTCTAGCTTTATCCAAAAGAAGCCAGTCAGTTTATCAGAAAATCAAATCCTGCATATTCTTACCTGAACCTAGGTCGTCCTGAAATTGTGAGCAACCATGTCTGGAGGTCAGCTGCACACTTTTCTTTCTTTGCTTGAGTTTATAGATCATGCTAAGTCACAATGTAATCTGATTGGGATTAGAGTTGTGCAAGAAATATGTTATGATTTAGAGTTAATTTTTATCCAACATATCTCAAGAGTTCTCCAGCTTTGCAGGTTTCTGCACAGGGCAAAGCTAGAGCAAGTTTTGCCAATATACAAGCTTTATCTGTGCAAGCCTGATCAAGTTTATAAAATGTTGGTAACCCCTACCACCAGTTGGCCACAACCATTCTGGGGGTCATAACCCATAGTTTGAGACCACAGCTATAAACCATGATTAAAGCAAACCCTTGCTTTTGTGTGAAACTTGCCTGCCTGCCCTCTTCTCCCTGTCTTTATCACCAGCTCTGTCTGCCCCAACTTGGGCTGTGTAAGAAAAAGGGATTCATCTTTGCCAGCTGCACATCCAAGTAGATTTCTGCATGACTGCCAAGTCTAGTCACACTCTGGGAATTCCAAGGAAAAGTCAGACATTTGTTTCATTGCCCATTCCACTGACACACAGAGTCGCTTTGATTTTTTAAAGAAATCTTTTTAAGCCCAACCCCTTTGTTTCAAAAACCCACCTTGCATTTTTTCAGCACCTGGACATCCTGAGTTGTACACATCTGTTCAAACAGTTATTTGGTTTGCACCACAGGATATTCTGAGTGTTTATATTTTTCTTTCTTAGACCACACCTAGTCCTTAAAAGTTCCATGTTGCACAGTGTATATACTAGAGAACCCTTTTCATAGTATACAGTCTGTATTAATGATTCCCAATTTTATGACTGCTACAAATAAATGAAGACACTTTTGCAGGAACTGTTCTGCCTGACTGTGTTCATGCAACATGCGAAGTTGAAGATCTGTTTCACACAACACACTATCCTTAAACCTTTTGTTTGCACAGCCTTGGCTTAATTCAGGGGTAAGCAGCCCACAACACCTGGGCCACATGCATCTCCTGGGTCTTTTGTTTTGAAGCCCCCAGAGGACTGCAAAAAGGTGCTTCAAAGCATCTGGGAGCAAGAACATCACACCTGTCTGCCACTTCTTAAAGCAGTGATGTCTTTTCCCAGGATCGTACCACAGCTCAACTGGTTAAAAGAGTTGTAACAACTGCTATGTCTCCTGCAAACTCCAAAGTTTCTTTTTGCTTTCAAATCCAAAGTCCTATACAGCTCTACTATTTTAAATCCCTCCATCTCCTCCCAGCCAAATATTTTGGCACCATCCATTCATATGATATCACCATATCACAAGCCATGTCCATGGTGATCTTTTGGAGAGGGTCCTCCCACCCTTTTTTGGTGGGGGGGGGAGAGTGGCCCTGGCCATAAAAAAGTTGTCTATCCCTGGTCTAGCATGTTTGTGAAACCAGTTAATTGCAGCATTCAGCCAGGCACAAATATTCTCTGTCTTAACATATGTTCCCTTGTTTCCCTACTTTCACTCAGAAAGCCTATCCCTCCCCTTGGGGGTTCTGTTAAGGATGAATCACAGGAACGTCTCCACAACTGTGATAGACGACGTCCTTGGAAGAGGAGCTATTTTGCTGTGCATCTTTGCACAGGCGAAACCAACTGTCCTCTAAGAAAAATAGTAGCGCCATCTGCTCTGGAGGAAATAATGGCATTATCTAAGCTACCCAAGTGCCAATTTCCACTACAGCTGTTATAAAAACCACAGAATATTAAGAACTGGTGACTACATTTTTTTTCTTTTTCCTTCCCCATTCTTCTTTCCTCCTATGCTGTGTCTTTTCACACCGACAAGCCTAAAGGCTGCTTTTCATTACTGCATAAGCCTTGATGGCAACTCTTGAGGCGGAAGGGTGGGCTACGGAAGCTTAGAATAAGTATTAAACATCAGATCTGGAAAAACAGCCAACCCAACCTTGCCAAATTGGATGGACTTAACTGTGCAAACCCACACAGAAGCAGCCTCTGCCAGACCTGTGAGTCATATTGATACACACTGGGCACCCCTTCCCCTGTGCATAGAAATCTTTAATTGCTTAAGGTCTGTTTCATGGCACTGAGTTTGGGAACAACTGGCATCACTTTGACTGACTCAGCAATGTTCTTCATAAAGCCCAAGTGCCAGATGCTTAGTGCAGTTCTTCCCATCTTCTTACCCTCTTATTTTCTCTTTGGCCTGTTATAAGATGGCCCAGTTCTTTCTCTGGCCAGTGATAGTAAGTCAATATACAAGGCTTTTGAAGAATTTAGCAAATGGGTGCTGCAGTACTTGCTTTCCTCATAGTGGCCCAATTCATAGGAAACACAGTGAAAATCCAATAAATCCATTAGTTCTGGGACTTAATTTCATATACTTACCTACCAGATTTATTTTTTAACCTCTTCTCAGCTCTAAATATTATTAGCAGAAACTTTTTTCTAAGTTGAAGAAATCCTAATCACTACATTTTTGCTGTTTTTGAGATAAACCATACCTTGATAGAAACACTAACAGTGACACAAATGGAACAGAATTCCGTATTCTTCTGTATTCTGATAGCAAATTCATTCTGCAACAACTGGTCAAAGTCACAGCAGCAGAAGGGAAAAGAACAGGGTTTGGGGCGATCAAGACTGCAGAACTACGAAAAGTATTAAAATACCAGTGTCATTTTAATCAATTCTTCTACCCATATTACAGTGAAAACCCTTTTTTAAAGGCTGCTCCCAGCCACCCTAGCATTAGCTGAGCAGCTCTGATCTCATGCAATGTTCAATTAAAATTAAAACACATTAATTTTTGAATTAAAAAATGCTGAGAAACTATGCAGATGTTTTACAGGAAACACATGGTCAGCTTTATTGGAACAAAAAAGTTACATAAGGACTTTGGTAGGCGATGGGTGGCCCTCCAGATGTTGTTGGCTTGCAGCTGCAATAATCCCTTACATAAGTTGGAGTTCAACATCTGGAGGGCCATGCATGCACCATTCCTAAGCTAGACAAAGCCAATACAGTGACTAGGCACTATTGACTGAAAAGTACAAGACGGGAATATGGGAGCTGGAAAACAAAGACCAAAAAAAAAGAAGAGAAATTTTCATAGACTGGATTGAATTGGGTTGCAAATATCTGTCCTCCTATGATTTTTTACAGAGGACCTCAAACGGTTTTTGTATGGAAATCATTACTGTTTTAGATGTGGCTTTCTTCCAGGTTAAGTGTGTAGAGCTTCCGTCTCCATGCTTGGTAGCCGAGGGTCAGATGATCAACTGTAGTCCAAAAAATCTGAAGAGTAATTAGGCTGAGGAAGGGAACCAGGCTAATGTACAGTACTGCAGCTTTAAAACAGGACCAGAGTTCAATATAATATTGCAAGATTTAGCAGAAGGGAATGGAAGAATGAAGCATATATGCCATTGCTTGCATCATGATGTTTTTCCAGATCATTTTTGAATACAACCTCCACAATCCCTCACCATCATGCAAGCTGGTGGGGTTGAAGGGTGTTCAACTGCAAAACGAAGGGCACCAGCCTTCCTACTGCTAATATATAAAATGTCAGATCCATGATCCATATAGCACAGGAATATAATACCTATAGCCTTCCAGATTCTGTTGGTTTTCAAATCCTATCAACTCTAGCCATTACTCATGCTGGTTTAGGTAAATGGGAGCTGGGGCCCAACAACATCTGAAGGACCACAAATTCTTTAACCAAGATTTTACCTAGAAATGCTCAGGGTAACAAAACATGGTTCAAAAAAGGGTGGTGTTGGGAGGAAGGAAGATACATCTAGAACTCCTGAACACAGCTATTTATTGATTTTAAAAAACACATTCCAATAGAAAGAAATACAAATTAAGTCTTTAAAAAAACCAAAATATCTTACAGACTATTTAAAGGTATCCTCATTCCTTGTTTATATATATATTTTCGTCCATTCTTTCTTCAACATCCTCAGATGTTCAGGCTTTACCAGCTTCCTGGAATTCCTTCAGCAGAGGTTCATCTGCTCGGAGAGCAAAGGTCAAGGTGCACTTTTGATAATACTGTGAGTCAAGCTCCAGATTAAACATCACATCGGAAAGGAGGTGGGCCCGCTCCACAGAGCACCCTGGTGCATCATAGCTCAGAGCAGTAAAATGCACATGAAGATGGAAATATGATGGCTGGTAATGCAAGTAAACCCGCAGCTGGGTCTTTGCAAGGCCAAAGCGCTTTTGTATGGCCTCCTAGAAGAAATGGACAATATGTTAATACATTAAAAGTGGACACCTATTAGTGGACAGAGGGGAAGGTCCTCTGAAGAAGAAAAAAGGTTGAAAAGCAGTGACTAAATGCAAAAGATGACAAATCACTTGAACCTTTAAATAATTGTGTAGAAATGTGGAATTCCAGAATTCTATGTTTTTTTCCTATTTATTTAACTAGATTCGTATTTCCTCCTTCCCCCAAGAGTTCAAGGAAAGCTACCTTGCACTCCTCTGTCCAATTCTCCCCCACCCCATGATACAGAGGTTGAGTGGAGTGAAAACAACTGGTCCATAAATGCAAACTGATAAAGGGCAGGTCTGAATCTAGGCATCCAGTCACCCCATCCTTGACACTGCTTCTGTTTCTGCCTGTACAGCTTGGAAGCTAAAGTGTACCCAGCCAGTCAAGTTCCAAGGAGCTGCAGTTCAAAACAGTGGCCCTGAATCAGTCTTCCCCAACTGGGCACCTTCCAGATGTACTACAGCTGCAACTCTCTGAAAACCCAAACAGAAAATCAAAGCACTTCTAACAGTAAACAGTAGGGCACTTGGGGAAGGGGGCAAAGCTTCAAGAGAGGAACAGGGTCTCCTTCAAGAGTTTTGTCAGCTGGGTGGAGAACTTCTACTGGGCAGATTAGGCTGAAGGCTCCCCATCCCTGCTGTAAACAAGATGGAAGCTGAAGAGTTCTTCCATAACCTGGTATCTTGATACAAGAGCTAACAATCAGTGAAACGGCAACATTAGAAGTTCTTCATAGACCCAAAAGATGGGTGGAGGAAGCAAACCTCTCTATTTTTCTATGATAAAATCCACTCTCTATATATAGAGCAGCTTGTGAGGGGAACCCTGAGTCTAAAATGTTCCTCTTCACCTTTCAACGGTGTAATTGCATGGTACATTTTAGGGGAGGGGAAATTTCAGCCCTGCTTTGCAGGCAGGAATGCAGGTATCCACAGAAATGATCCTCTTTCTGAAATTTCAACATGATACAAAGTGGAACAGCAAACTACTGTCTTATCATATGGGCTTCTCCATTTTAGTTCTTGTTTCTTTTCTGCTATCTTAATAATAAGGCCCACCAAGCCAAGTCTGCGGTGGGTAGAAAAGATGAAGCTCCAGGCATGTTATCCTAAAGAGGGGCCTTTCCTGAATTTTATTGCTTTCCATTCCAACTTCGTCCCTCTGGATGGCTGGCCAAGTTACAAGGTCCTATTACTGGGTAGCATAATCAAAACTCTCAACAGGAGCATAGAACCTATCAAAGCCCTCAGAGCTCTTCTTCTTGGATATGCAGCAAGCTTTGCCCCACCTCAGATGCAATCTCTTTATTTCAGGGGTGTCCACAGGGTGTGATCAAAACAGTCAAAGTGGCAGCCACAAAGGGGCAATCGAAACTCTGCCCATTTTTTATGTGCAACACAGACACACGTTAATAAAACAGAACTTCGATAGCACCCAACATGGTTGTATCTTGACTTTTTTGACCACATCCTGTGGACACTCCTACTGCATTCTGTGGTACAATTTTATTCTGACATTTTTTCAAGAGCCAGTGGTGGGGACTAAGGAGACCCCATCTGCTTTAACCTGACATCCTCCAACATTAGTCGAACTGTGTCAAACATTTGTTCTGCATTTTTTCCTGACAATTCTCAGCTAATTTGATGGGAAAGAAATGGTGCTTCTTTCCCAACATGAAGATTAAAAAATCAATGAAATATATCCTCTCCTGGATGGGATGTGTGGTTTAGACTCTTACCTTTCTTGTGAAATAAACCAGGTATCAGTGTCCTTCCTTTCACTGTGCAATCCTCACTAGTTTCCCATTCTTTAATTAAATCTCAAAGGAAGATACGACACTTGAACTTAGCCAAAAGGCTGAGAAGATGCACCATGAAGAAATTCCAGGGGGTTTTGTAGATCAAGATGTAGAGCAGGTAAGGAGGTTTCAGTGAAAGAGAGAGGTGTGACTGAAAAACCACCACACATGCCTCTAACTCAAAAATACTAACATATGATATTAAAACTCAGTAGCCTGGAAATGAGGCAGAAAAGCAGAAACCCTATTATGTGGGCAGAAGGGGACTTTCAGGAAGTTGAAGGACAGATTTCAGCACAATGTTAATCCTGATTAATCAGTGAACTGCACTATTGCCACTCCCCCTTAAAAAAGTTTCTAGTGGCCAAAGGAGGCCCTGAATTCCAATGGTGTAGGTAGGGTTCCATGGAAAGCCATTTTTGCTAGCCTCTCAAAAACTGTCATGTCATGCTAGCCTAGAGAAAACTAAAGTTCTGCTGAATCAGTTCAGAGTCATCCTGTGAAAGGAAGCTGGATCAGGGCAAGAAAGGAAAAACAAGCCCCCAAAATACATTCGCTCTGATCGGTTCTCTTTGGTTCTAGGGAAAATGGGCAAAGCATCCTTTGATTCAGACTGAAAAGGCCAGTTCCAGTTGATCTGCCAGAACTCGCTTGAGCCAAGAAGAAGCAGGCTGTTGTTTCCTAAGAAATGTGATTTTCTTCTGAAAAGCCTGCAGGGCCATGAATATCTTCATGTACAGTGGGGCAAAAAGGTATTTAGTCAGCCACCAATTGTGCAAGTTCTCCCACTTAAAAAGATGAGAGAGGCCTGTAATTTTCATCATAGATTTTTTCCCCCATTTTGTCTCTCATAGTTGAGGTATACCTATGATGAAAATTACAGGGATTTTTTCCCCCATTTTGTCTCTCATAGTTGAGGTATACCTATGATGAAAATTACAGGGATTTTTTCCCCCATTTTGTCTCTCATAGTTGAGGTATACCTATGATGAAAATTACAGGGATTTTTTCCCCCATTTTGTCTCTCATAGTTGAGGTATACCTATGATGAAAATTACAGGGATTTTTTCCCCCATTTTGTCTCTCATAGTTGAGGTATACCTATGATGAAAATTACAGGGATTTTTTCCCCCATTTTGTCTCTCATAGTTGAGGTATACCTATGATGAAAATTACAGGGATTTTTTCCCCCATTTTGTCTCTCATAGTTGAGGTATACCTATGATGAAAATTACAGGGATTTTTTCCCCCATTTTGTCTCTCATAGTTGAGGTATACCTATGATGAAAATTACAGGGATTTTTTCCCCCATTTTGTCTCTCATAGTTGAGGTATACCTATGATGAAAATTACAGGGATTTTTTCCCCCATTTTGTCTCTCATAGTTGAGGTATACCTATGATGAAAATTACAGGCCTCTCTCATCTTTTTAAGTGGGAGAACTTGCACAATTGGTGGCTGACTAAATACCTTTTTGCCCCACTGTAGCTTATTCATAAAGTAATCCCCAAAGCAGAAGTTATGAAAAAGGAGCAATGCAAAGGAAAAAAAATTCTGTGTACATGACAGAACGTTTTAAAAAAATTCTCATTAACATGGCATCAACAGTGATGCACACCAATACATTTGCAAGCATACTTGGACCAGCAGAAAGAGCCTCAGACAAGATGAAGGCAACTACCCCTTCATTTATTTGTTTTGTTAATCATAAGTGTGTTTTAAGGCAGGAGCACACAACCTGTGACACCTCCCCAAAGGCCTGGAGCACAAGAACCTCCTCAAGCATCACCATTAATAATATTTATTAATGCAACAGAAACGAAAATACAGGTAATCCTTGCTTAACAACCACAATAGGGACCAGAAATTTCATTGTTAAGTGGGGCAAGTGTTAAGCAAGTCATTCCCGATATGACCTTTTTTGCAGCAGTCATTAAGTGAATCACCATGGCCGCTAAGCGAATTATGCAATCATTAAGCGAATCATGAGATTCCCCATTGATTTTGCTTGCTAGAAGCCAGCTGGGAAGGTTGCAAATGGTGATCACATGACCCCAGGACGCTGCAACCACAGTAAATGTGAGCTGATTGCCAAGTGCCTGGATCACGATTAAGTAACCATGGGGGTGCTGCGACAGTTGTAAGTGCAAGGACCACTTGTAAGTCCCTTTGTTCAGCACCGTTGTAACTTCAAACGGTCACTAAACAAATGGCTGTTAAGTGAGGACTACCTGTGTGTTGATTAAACAAACTTGTCCTTGCCCACCCACTTTTTGGAAAATGTCTGCTGGAATTCCTCTCCTCTGCATGCATACGCAGACACACACACAGACACACACACCCCGAAATAATAACAGTAAGTAAAAGGGAATAGATAGCGACTTGGAAAAGCTGATGGAGATTTTGTTACCCCTTGACCCCTGGAGTAGACAACTGGTTTTTAGATATTTTGACCTAATTCCCATCATCCCTTCTCAATATGTTCGAAGGCAGGGAATGTAGAATCTGCAGGTGAAAGCAACTGGACTATTAGTTTGCGTAACCCTGCTTTAGATAAAACAATGATGCAATTACACATAGAACGCTTTTTGAAAACTACCCTTCCAAAAATGCAGGAGAATCCAGGTAGTCCCCCTTTAGCGACTGCCTTGTTTAGCGACCATTCACCATTACGATTGTGATGAAAAAGTAACTTTGCAACCAATCCTCGCATTTATGACCTTCGCAGGTCTGTAAAGCAAAGGAAAGCTGAAGTTAGATCATAACCACAGTCACAGCTTCACTTAGTGACCACTTTGCTTAACGATCGAGTTGCCAGTCCCAATTGTGGTCGCTAAATGAGGACTACCTGTAAGGCAAAAAACGACAAAATGTATTGACTGATGCATGGCACAGAGAAAGTCATCCAATGAAGCCAAACATATGGTGGACTTTACTTCTACTATCCCCAGTGACAGCTAACAATAACCGCTAGTTATGGTAGCTCTCTGTTATTTGGGAAGGTACACAAGTGAGACGATAATGATGCACCTGTGTCCTCCTTTGGGGGTCCGCTCTGGAAACTATATGTCAGAGTAGATTCTCTTTGGTCTGAGGCACCAGCTATTCTCATGGTAAGCAGAGGGTTATTTTTTAAATAACTTGGCTACCTGAGCACATCACTAAAGAAAAACCTGACTTACAGTATATTCCTAACACTCATTCCGGACAGGGACATTCCTGCGATAAGAATCAGAGCTGCTATTGTTAAGAAAACGCAATCCCTTGCAGCAGACTTTCCCAGCCTGGTGCATTCTGGGTGTGTTGGCCCAAAATTCCACACCAGCATTGGTTGTCAGAGATAATCTACTCATTGTGGACTGATAGCTCTCTTTTTCTTCTCAGGACTTGGGTCCACTCCTAACTATGTCCAAGTATTGTGAAGAAATGCCACAGACTCTCCTTCCATTTCTTAGCATTTGAACCCAATTGTATTCATTTTCTCCTCCCACCTGTTCTGGTATATGCTTATTTGCCAACTGCAAATCAAATTAAACACAGGCTGTTAAGTGCTCTGGAAACCCCTTAGGTGTGATTTCTAAAGCAGCCCAAGGAGAACAATTGGCTTGCCTCATGCGCTCACTTTTCTCCCCAAACCACAACACAATGCTTTTACAACATATTGTGGTTACTATAGCAATTCTATTGAACTGAAGGGCACACCACAGGTGAGTATGCAAAACGACAGTTTTTGCAATGCTGGTCTGTGCACCTCAATGGTGCCTGCATTCCTCCACTCATTTCAGTAGAACTTACTCTTAAACAAGCAAGTGCAAGATTGCAGCCCATGGGCTTTGAAACTGCTCCCCCAGATTTTCCATTTGGACATTTGCTGCTGGGCACAATGCCACACCATTCTGAAAAGACTCTCTGCAACATCTGGTCCCAGAGAGACACATTTCATTTTGTCAGTTCTGCTTGGCATCAGCCAATTCATCACAAGGGAAAAAATTTTCCCCAGAAGACTAGGAGAAGGTGATGGCAGCAGTGGGAAGAGGACCAGGCAGTCTACCAGCAAAGGGGTTGCTAAAGTCATAAGGTGCCCCATAAGCAAATGAGTTGGAAAAATTCAACATGAAACTCCACAATAAATTACAAAGACTGCATACATCCTTCCTGATTGCCAGCCACAGCTTCACCAAACTGATCTATTAGCAGGAACCTCAGCTGCTGATGCGAGCCATTTCCTTGAAGCTTCATAGGAAATGAGTAAGCAGTTAAAGAGAAGAGAAACAGGTTCCCCCTACACTGGAATTTCCCCTTCATTAGCCCTGACTGGGTGCCAACAGTAACTACCTCATCTCTACCCAAAAGGAGAGGGTTAACTTGCTGTTGCACTGTATATGTGTATATAGGAGTATGAGCCATAAGCCAATTCACAGGTTTAATTTTTTTTTAAAGCAAGTTTTTCTAGTACTGGAGTAAGGGCAACATATAATCTTTCAAAAACAAGGAAAAGGAACATATGTTGAAAGCACGATTTACAAAAGCATAAAGCACCTGAGGGTGAAGAAAATAAGCTACAATGCTAATATTCATCACATCTTTGTGATTAAAAACAATCCCAAATAAAACTGACATTTAAAAATAAATCAGAAACAATTTGTGTTTTGTTTAGTTTTAAAAGATCTATATAAATGCTCATACGCTCAGGAAATACAGCTAGGAAGTTCTAAAGTATAATTTTATTTTATTTTTTTCCAGAAAAGAAAGAAAAAAAACCCAATAATGGGCAAATGTAAAAGGAAAGGGTTTCCCCCCATTCATTTTCTCTCAAAAGCACAAGACCTTGTAATGGAATTTTGCTACATTTTCTCATTAATTCACAACCTTAGATGTCTAGAAAAGAGTGGGCTGGGGAAAATTCTGTACTGAGTTTTGAGAATAAAACAATAACCCTGCAGGGAAAATGCTACCTTGAAGATCACTGTCAAAATTTCTCTAATTACATGCTAATATTGTACATAAGAGAAGGCTATTCAATTTCACCAACGAAAGAAGAATCTAGGGTGATCAGAAAACCTAGAATTAGAACAGGCAAAAATTGGATGAAGTGAAAGAGATACCCACCCCTCCTTCTTGCAAGATGTTCTTAAGCAAAGTGAGATGCTCAGCAGTAAGATCTCTCAGTGATCTGATTCCCCTACGGTGGCAGATGGCGATTAGGTACAAATCATCAAGCTGTAAATACACAAGAGGCAGTTGAGGTCAGATATACAGTGAAATACTTTTCATGTTTTGTCATGGTAAGTGATAAAGGAACAACATGAACTTTTTCCGTATGGTGGCCACTTCTGCATCACCCGGTCCCTAAAGGCATCTCTAAAAGATGGTCATGACAAAATAGAGATTTGCCTAACATTTACAGTGCTAAGTTCCACATACCAAAGGATTACAAAAACTTAACACAAAAACACAGTACATCTCACCACTGCAGAGATGATTCTGCAGGGCTGTTAATGGACAACTTCAAGTAGCCAACTTAGCATTCCCCTCTTTATTTTTAAATCAGATTTTGACTAGATTCTTTTTTCCAGCAGAGGATGCCTTTAAAGAGACTATAGCTTTCAAAATAGTTTAGCCATAAGGTAGGCTTAGGTATTGCTCTAATCTATACCATGGTCTGTTTTAATTTTGGTATATGATGCGGTGTAAATCCAGTTAATTGTGCCTTATTTAATGTACTGTGATTAAGCAAACTACAGGTTAGTGTGATATGTGAACTCAATCACACATATCTACTTTTCTATATGTGGGGAGCCCTTTCTATGAGGGACTATTCAATTCTGTAATAACCCTTTAAAGTATAGCCTGGAAATAGTTTTAATATAAGGCTTGGTGCTTGTGCTGAACAGGCTGCAGCTTATCATGAAGTATTTTCCTCAGAAGTATTTGCATCTTCTGGGTATGTGCCAGTTCAGTTGTTCTATTACATTATGACTAGCATTGTTTTTCCAAAGAACTTCTCAAATGGTTTGAAAGAGAGATCTGAAAATCCAGTGTTTGGATGTTCAGGAATAGCTCCAGGAATTACCACAACACTCTGAACATTTCTTCTCAAGAATAAATGAGTCATTTGACATTACATTAGAAATGGTGCCTGGGCCCTCATCTTGGGCTCTGTTCCTCACTTATACATTGGGTCCTTTAAAGAAAAGACTGCTGTTACTATCTATGTTCACGTTACACTTTTAACAGGGCTAGTTAAATATCTAGCAGAAGAATATGCACAACATACTAAGCTTGGTTAGTGCTAACACTGGAAAACCTTGTTGGGCTAACTCAGTCCATTTGTTTAGCTTATGGTTCACTTTATTACGTGAAGCCAGAAAATGGATCAACTCAGTAGCTGAATTAAGTGCGTTATGTAAACAGGTCTCCATATGCTAAACAAGTCAGCACAAACACACTTTAGCTTGCCCCTCCTTCTTTTGGTCCAACTACTAGAACAGCAGAATCACATGGAACTTGCCTGAATCTACTCTTTTCTTGTAATGCAACAATAATCTCCCAGTAGGTGCAGCTTATACATTAAGGTTCCCACTTTCCACACTGAGGGACCAGGATGCCTGATCTTTTCATTCCACACCATCAGTGACTTTATTTAGCAAACCCTTGCCAACAGCTTTTGCAGATTGTCAGATAGTTTGAATGATATCAACTCCATCCTTTCTCCCTTTCCTATTGAGGTCACTCTGAAGAACTTCAGATTCTGGATATGCATGTGTTCTTACTGTCTTCCATCTGCCATAATTAAAGGACAAAAATACTTAGAATCCCCACCTTTCCCTCTTTCCACTGCCAATATGGAGGGCGTGAAGACCCAACAGAGTACATCTCAAACCCAAATAAATTAGGATGGCTTTTGGAACCTACAGGAAACTATCAGTAATCCTACGTAATCGGACTTGTCAGCTATAGGTTTGCTGAAGATGGGAGTGGAAAGCAGGAGACATCATGCTGACAAAAGGATGGGAGGAAGTTCCACAATTCAGAAAGGTCAAAGAAATAGGAATCCTCCCTCCAAATAACTGACTTAATTTATTGACCTTTAATAGGCGTTTAATAGGACTCAGCTGATCTTGTTGCCTTATGTCAGAGCTGATCTTAAGAGGAGATGCACAGCTTAAAGAGGTATTGCTGGAAAAGTATTTTTATTTTATAGATAAGTGTATATTCCACCATACTAACAGCCAAATGGGGCTCAGAGCAGCTTATAATGATTTAAAACCGCAATATATAATTATGCATTTAAAATAACTGATAAAAGAGATAGGCAAGAACAAGAATAAAAACAAAAGTCCACCCCAACACTTAGCAGAAAAAACCTGCCAGAACAGATGTGCTCACCAACTCCCAATAACCATCCACATCCACAGAAGAGGACCACTTGAGATTCTTCAAGTGGAATTGCATTCTACAATACTAGGGCAGTCGTTGAGAAAGCCCTGAACATCAACATGGCTCTACCACAAGTGGCATACAAAGATCAATTTTGGCTTTTGATATTGGAGCATTCAGGATATAAATTACTCTGGACTCTGAAAGAGTTCAAAGCATTTTAGATTATGTCCAGACGCAGTTTACCCAGCAGATGGACAGCTTTTGGATTATAGCCCTTTAAAACCACAGGGATTGAGCTGGGCCTGTAAAAACCTTCTGTAAGAATGATTTACGAATTACTAGATAGAAGTCCTAACTTGCAAGAAGTGGTATGCGTAAGCGTAAAGAAGCAATAAAGATACAATTAAAATAAGACACAAATAAAGTTAAAATGCTGGAAATAAATTCAGTGACAAATGTAAACAGATACGCATATTACCCAAACTGTACCTTAGTATATCAGTTTCTGAAGGGGGTCACTGAATTGTATCTGAAATGTTTATATCTACTGTGAAGTCTGCAAGGAAGCTAACCAATCAAATTAAAATGCACATTATAATAGTAACATCACCAAACCTAAGAGACAGTGAAAGGTGCAATGGTTCATCTAAGTCTTCATTAAATGAGTCTATTTTTAAAACAGGTTGTTGTTTTTAAAGATCACAAGTCTCCCTCGTGTTCCTGTTAACTTGGATGCACCAAATTTAAACTGATTTGCTGTCTCACAGACGGTCATTTTTTAACCCCATGACCACAATCCAGGAAACCATGAGAACACAGGGGCCGCCTTGTTGGTTCTGGAACAGAAAAGATTACTATTCTTTGGGGCACTTTGTGTGGATCTTGGTTTGTAATTGAGAACACAACCCCATTGTATTCAGTTTGCTAGAGTAAGGTTTTGGTGCCTCGTAACTTTAGAATTTGAGTTGACTCCCTGTTCCCCTTGCAGTGTCCATTATCTTCTGCCAACAGCTATGGAGAGGCTGTACTGACGTGATCCAGCAAGAAAACATTGAAACAAAGAATTAATTGTAAGATCAGCAGACCATGGTGGAAAAACCCAATTATTTCATGCAATTTTGTGTGCCTATGGCGATTTGGTACACAGAGAGTGATGGCAAGGATTCAGGAAAGGATGGAATGTGTGGGTGTGACTACTGTGAGGTAAATTGGAAGTGTGTTGAAAGTACCTCAAATTAGGCGGGAAAAACCAGATACCACCGGTTTGAGGGAGGTAGAAAGGGATTGTCTCAAGGGCACATGCGTGTAGGTGAGACTAGCTGAACTTTCCTGACCCTCAGATAGTTATAATAGTAAGTTTCCCTCCCCTAGTGAGGTGATTCCATGCCCTAGGGTGGAGACCTTGATAAGGAAATAATGAGGGGTTGTTATGTAACAGGTGGTTATTGCGATGGCGTGGTGTTGTGACTGACAGAAAGTTTGTAATTTTGTTACTTTTAACGGTAAATAAAAGGCTTTGCTGCTCGAGGCGCGGAGCTCTTGCTCCTTTAGAGGCAGGAGTCCTTTTGGCTGAAGTACTTCA